GTTTCTGATGCTATCATTCCTGTCACTTGTAATGATGCAGCAAGGCCCAGACAGACAGACATACCCCACCATCAGGGCCCTTCCCCAGAGTACACGCCCACACCTCCATCCCACCCATAGGCCCTCAAAGAAGCTTGTCTTCTCCATTTAAAATCGGTGGAACTGAGACCCATACATTTGATCAAACCATGAGCCTCAACAAAAAGTAAAACATGGAGGCTGGTGGGTGGCGCATCGGTAAAACATGGGGCTCTACAAGGCTGACCCACATGGGAAGGTTCTAGGTTCTATCCAGTGACCTCCCCAACTGCACTGGGCCCACACACGCTCAGGATCCAGGGTTGGCTGAGGCAGGGGGTGGATGGCAAGGTTAAGACCCTGTTAGGAGTGCTTGTCTCTCTCTCACTCATGGAAGAAATATATATATTTTTAAAAAGTTAAAATGCAAGAATAAGCAGAGTTTCTGGGGAATGATAATGTTCTCTTCCTTGACTTGGGTAGTAGGTAGATGAAGAATCTGTGTGGCCATTGTTATTTAAATTGTACATGCATGTATGTGTCCAGGCACTTTGATTCACAAGTCACATTTCTCAATTCGGAACGCTGCCTTTCTGCTGAAGGTATGCAGGGTCAGATCACAGGAGCCCATCTCCAGGGGGCTCGGAGGTACTGAGGAGCACAGGCCGCTCAAAGGGAGCTGGAAACCTGTGACCACCAGCAGAGACCGCGAGCTGCAGGGAGAACCAGGGAGGGTTCCGTGATGCCTTGTCCTCGGATGTCTGCTTCTGGTACTCTTTCCTGCTCTTCAGCCTGAGCAGGCAGGAAGCCCAGTGTAAGGTATAGACAGAAGAACCCAGGGAGTCTTGAGTCGGAAGCACTTACAGACAGGATGGGAATTACAGAATTTGGAGCTCCCCTTTTCTCTTCAGAAAAAGATATTAATACTGCTTTGAGGGAGCAGCAGTTGGCGTAATGGCTATGTCGCTGGACTCCCGTGTAGTCAACTGTTGTCTGAGTCTTGGACCTGGCAGCTTAAACTCACACTAAGCGCGTGGTGTGCGTGCGTGCCTAAGATTCCAAGAGGAGAATGGAGGAGATGGGATTGTGGTGTGGCCATTCCCCCTTGGGGGTGATTTCTCACTTTCTGTCGCTCTGTCTCTCTCTGTCTTTCTGGCAAGTGTACGCACCCTATAGCAAAAAACCTCTTAAAAAAAAAAACAAAAAAAAACCTGTTTTGAAATCCCTAGGGAACAGGACCAGCAGATGGCGTAGTGTTACATCCTGGACTCCCATGTAGTCAACCACAGTTCGAGTCCTGGACCCGGCGACTTAAAACTCATGCCAGGAGTGTGTGTGTGCGTGCCAAAATCCCAGGAGGAGAATGGAGGAGAAGGGATTGTGGTGTGGCTGTTACCCCTGCGGTGTCCTTTCTTGCTTTCTAGCTCTCTCTGTCTCTATGGCAGGTGCACAAGCACTATAACAAAAATCTCTCTAAAAAAAAAATTAAGAGAGAAAAAAAGAAATCCTTGGGGAATTATTTGCAGAGATTTTTCTGGCGGAAAAACTTCCCCCTCAGGGAAAGGCCCCTGACATGTACACCCAGAACCTTCCTTCCAGGAATGGCTCAGTTCCTCCAGCTGCAGAAGGGAGGGCAAGGTCAGTAACTTCCTCCCTGGCCTTCGAGCTCCTACAGAGCATCAGGACAGAACTGGCTCACTTCCATCAGCTATTCGTCCCAGGCCTCAGAAACACCTACCGTTCTATTAGGGTGAGTGCTCTGTGTCCCTTCTGCAGTTTCCCCGGAAGCTCCTCCCTCCTCCCATCCTCCCTGGGGCTGGGTTTTCTTGACAGAGAATTCCTCCGTGCTTTTGGTCAGGCAGTTCTCCCCGTGCCCCGCAACCCCTGCGTCTCCTCCTGACAAGCAGAGAATCCAGTAGCGGCAAAGGACTGGATAATGAGGACAAATGAATTGAGACATGAACTCAGTCAAGTGGCTCAACAGGAATCCAAACCACAAACGGCTGGGGAATGTGACTCTACGTCTGCCGAGATCTCTGCCAAGCTCATACAGGTGTACAGAGTAGCTGAGAAGGCCCCCCCCAAGGACCTGCATGAGCCTCCTGGGGGGCAGTGTCCACTTTCAGGTTATTTTTTTCAGTTACAATTGCAGTTTTACAGTTTTAAGAATGCAGCCTATTTTTCTTGTTTTTGCTGGCCCTTCTCATCCCATAAGCACAGACCCCAGGCCACCCCAGAGGAAACTAGAGGAGCACAGGAAGATGCTCCCCAATGCTAAAAAAAAACCAGAAGAGCCCCTGAAACTACAGCTGCCTCTATTTAAGCCTTATTCAGGTCTCTTTGGCAAAGACTCTAATTCTCTCCTCTTCCTGCTCACCCCCTAAGCTCCACTAAGGTACTTTAGACAGGGCCTCTTATTTACTTAATTTTTTACTTTTTACTTTTTCTGTTTTTTTTTTTTTGGTTTTTTTTTTTTGTCCTTTCTCAAAACAATTTCCTCCAATGCACTTAATGCACCACAATGCCCAGAGCTGTCACAAGAAAATAGAAGTGGGACCAAGGGACCTAAAGTTCCTATCTCCAAAGTTGAAAATGAAAATTAAAGCACGTTGATCTGCCTTGGCCAAGCATAGGTATAGGATAGGGGATATTTAAAAATTAAACTCTCCCCTTCTGGTACCATCATTAAATCAAAAAGGAATCAGCTTCTACCCAGTTCTAAGCTGATGATAGAATTTTTCCATCACTGGAAACCTGCACCAGCACTGGAAAACAACTTTTCCAGTACTGGAAAACAAATTGAGACACCTTCAATATTCCTAGTCCCATTCCCCAGAAAAAGGCTTAGCCAAGTCAAGTGATTTGCCTGAGACCACACAGCAGGTCGAACTGTGATGGCTCCCAAGTTCATGCCTGGTCGGGAAGCCCTGACCTGTAGTAAACATGTTTCCATGAAGCAGACATAAACAGGAAAAGGCCCTGTTTGTTTCCTTGGGCTCCCGGGCAGGCAGCAGCTATGCTTCCTCCTTGCTGCCTGCCTGGGTCCCCACTGCTGGGCTTGCCTCTCTCCCTGGTATGTTTTCTGGCAGAAGGTGGGGATAGGGGTTCTTTCATTGTGCTCCATCTCTGTTCTGGTTCTGGGAAGTTCCACAGTTAATGTCAAGTGTAGAGTTTTTGCTTTATCTGCCCCTGACCTGATGGAGAGTATCACCAAGCAAGAGAAAGAGAGAGAATAAGAGAGAGCGAGAGAGCAGTGATACAGGAGGGTGGAAACGAACAAGCGGAAGCAGCCTTATCTCCAGAGACAAAGGCACGGCAGTCCCCACACCGCAGCCAGCCCACTTTCCCTCAGGAAGGCCACGGGGGCTGGAGGGGCTGAGTGAAGCTGGCAGTCTCCATTGCTGGCCTGAGCTTGAGAGTGGTGAAGTTCCCGAGTCCCGGACTTAGGGTGAGGGTCCCATCCGGTTAAAGACTCAGAGTCTGCTGGCTAGATTCAGCTGGTCGGGCCCAGAATGAGGCTGAGGTCTACAAAGAAGGCTCGCCTCTTCCCCACGACATAGAGGGGACCCTTTCCTTTCACCGTCTCACTTAGAACAGGAAGCACACCTCCCGGTCACCAGGTGGACTGGGGGGTGACAGCTGAGACGGACGCCAGAACTCCGTGGGCCTGACTAGAACACAAGCCTCCTGTGCAGAGACTAGCCCACTGAGCTCATCCTCAACTAAGGCTAGTCCTGAACCCCTGGAAAGGACAGTACCAGAATCAGAGGCCAGATTTGAATAACTCCTGCACATTTGAAAAAAGTCCACGCGACAAGGAACTAGTCATCCCCCTGCTCAGCCCTTCCCAAGGAACACAGACAGGTAACACACACAGGTAAGAGCACACACACTCACCTGTGCTCTGCCTTCCTAACTGGGAGCCACTTGGACCGAATGAGGACTGTCATTGGCTTATTCTGACGAGCTCCTTGGTGGCTGCTGCCATAGGATACAGGCTTTATTTAACATACCGGAGTCCTCTCCTCTCCGCTCAGCTCAGCTCAGCTAGCCCAGACCCTGCACCCTCTCCGGAGAAAATCCCCCTGAGGCATCAATCTCCAAGGCATCTGAGTTCTTTCCAGCGGCTGACATCTCGCTCAGCCCCGTGGTGAGCCGGCTTGGGATGCCTGAGCCTACGGTCCCCGTGGCAGTTCCAGCCGAGGTGCATTATTCATCAAGGTTGCTGCTTAAATTGATAGAGATATATTCAATACGGCTCGCCAATCAGGTCCACAAGCTCAGGCCAGAAAATAAACAGCTCCATGTGAACAGCTCTTTCAGATTCTGGTTCTAGCTGCCGGCTCAGCGTGTGTGCAACTTGAACCGGGCCCCAAACCAGCCCTAGCACTGCTCCGCCACCTGTCAGTTCTCCACCCTGGGGGCTGGTTCAGCAAGCAGGCACGCAGGGCAGGCAGGCAGGGATCTCCAAGCACTACCTTAACCTCTGGCTCCACCTAACGGCAAGAAATCCACACCCCCCTTTCACAGATGAATAAACTGAGCTTCATCCAGAAAGGTGCTCAAAGATCCCAAAAAGAGGAGACCAGTTCAGCCAAGGAAACTAATGGTCACCTGCCTGGCCACTCACACACAATTTTCTTCCCCAGTCATCCTACAGGAGGGAAAATGATGTCAACTTTTCGGTTAGCATCTTGGATTTTTCCAGCCTTTTGTCTGCGAATAGCACTTCACACACATTATTCCAACAATCTCCAATGGGTGAGTCACTAGAATGTCTGCCGAATAATTGGGAACAAACACAGGCCTGAAATGGAGCTGAAAGACAGAGACACAAACGGTACCCCATATTCCCTCTCCGGGTCATCCTCTCTGACCTTTGCCTGGCTTCTCCATCACTTTTCTCCGGAGAAAGCACTTCTGTCTGGGATGGAGAAAGCTCGACCGTGGGCTAGGCATGCCAGGGAATGGTCTGCGCTCACCTTTAAATCAGGAGGCTTGCTTCGGGGACCCGGGTTGGGGTTGGGCGCCGCGGCAGCGCCGGCATCTGAAGTTGGCCCGCCAGCGGAGTTAGCACCCGTGGCCTCCCCAGGCCGAGGGTCCGTGCCCGGCAGGTGGCAAGCGGCATCTTCCAGCCCAGCTCCATCCTCCTCGCCCTGCTGTTGCTGCAGCTCGTCCGATTTGCACCTCTTCATGGTGTATGTGGGTCGGCAAGGGGAATCTGTCCTTCCAGCAGGCCGTCTTGGGGGAGACCGCACCCCCTCCTTACACTCAGAAATGAGGCCTGGGGTCTCGATTATTAACAAGAAGGGGGAGTCGGCAGATCCCAATTTCTTGAATAAAAAAAAATATTGTTTTTCAAGAGAGGGTGAGGGAGGGGCCAAGAGGGGAAGCCTTGGTTACAGCTTGGAAGAGTTCATGACGACCTGGGAAGCGAAGGCGGGTCACAGTCGAAGCTGGGCAGCAGGAGACCTTGGGCAGTCATAGGAGGTGGTGGAGGAAGACTGACCCCGACCCAAACTTTCTGCTTCAGGACATGAGCTGGGCATAGGGGAGCCGGGCTGCACGGCGCATCCCTCCCGGCTGGCCGGGCTGCTGGGCGAGGCAGGGCGCGGGGCAGCCGGCCGGGCAGGTCCTGTCGGCCGCCCTC